CCCTCCCCTTGTTGAGAATTATTGTTTGGATGGCTGACTATTGCTTCATCAGTCTGTGTTCTTTTTTTGTTTAATCGATCAGATCTCCTTAATAATGGATTATGGCTGTGGCTGTGGCTGTGACTGTTCTCTGAATTCACACCCACACCCCACACAGCCACACCCCACACCCACACAGTCACACCCACACACCCCACACCCACAGCCATACACCCTACACCCATCCCCTGAAGAGCCGCGACCCATGCTCGTCTCTCCGTGTACACAACCAAATCTATGAATAGCTACGTGCTATGTTATAAGATAACCATAGCAATGAATATTGAGGGCTGGAATTATGCGATCGCGAGATATGGGAAAAAAACATTGATACGCATGATGGAAGCTCATACATGTGACACTTGAAACTTTAATGAAGTATTCAAGTATTCAAGTATTCAAGTTTCAAATGTTCAAGTTTCAAATTTTGAGGGGCATTAGGACAAACCATTCAGGGAAACAGGTATGGGAATAAAAAGATTTTGTCTTCCCAACACACCTTTTATTTCAGTGTCGCGGCATGAGGGCGCGAAGCGCTCCCGAAGAACTGCGACCCATACCAGTCTCTGTGTACACCACAGAGCTTATAATTAGTGCGTGCTAGCAAATAACTTGAATACAGCAGTATCCAGAATTTCAAGTGTTCACTAACTGAACATTTGAAAGTGAGTTAAGACACTGAATGGTAGTTCCCAATATTATAGAGTAGTTCAAACTTCAACTATTGAATAATTGAATACTTTAACTAATAGCTGCATAGTTCAATTCAACTTTCAAGTATTTATTATTTTTTTTAAATTCCAGGAAATTTAATTGAATCTCAATCCTTCCTTCTTTTACAGATTTAGTACCAATTCAAGTTTGTTTCTCTCTTAATTTCAATTCTTTGAATGACATTCTGATCCGACGGGAAACATTTATTGAGAATATTCTTGAACAAAAACCAGATATCCTCCACAAGATGACTATTTTAGCCTTGTTTTAATTTTATCTACGTATCACCAGTATTCAGTTTGCGAACTTTTAATCGAATCTCAAACTTCTCAACATATGCGGGTATGTGTAGAATTATCAATACTTAGAGACATCACTAACTCTGAAAGAGAATAGAGTACGAAATTGACACTCTTTATACATCTTCACTACGTCACACTTTTTTTATGATTCAACTAAAGCATCGAGTTTCTTCTTTTGATATCATTCTAGGTATACAGCAGCTGGCGAATTAAAAATTTAATAGAAAAGCAATACTCGAAGAAATCCATGACTTTTATTCAAAAAGTAAAGAAAAAAAATTAGAAGAAGACAGACCCGAACTAAAAAAAAACAATTCACACCTACATTAACTAATAGCTGTTCATCAATATCTAAGCACTAACAAGTCATACATCCAGACGAAGTTAAAAATTAAACTTCACCAAAATCAAATCAGTCTTACAAGATATCATCAGAACCAACAAATATTCCGAAAAATAGAAAAAAGAAGAGAGAATCAATATCAATCATTTTATTCACTGACATAAATTTTCGACAAAGTTTCCACAAGCCCTATCTCAATTATAAATTATAATTTTTTTTTCTGCTTTTCTACCGCACTTACAGGATTGTCCTATTTCATTTATAATTAATAATTTTTTTTCTGCTTTTCTGCCATGGTTATAGTAATGTCCTATCTTGTTTATAATTTTTAATTTTTAATTACTTTTGGCTGGTTTGTCTTGCATTTATACAAAAGTTGTACCCAGACCGTAATTGATATTCAAAAAACAATTCTTTTTGTGCCTTGATCGAGCCTGATATGTTTTTGAAATTTTCATTTATATTATAACTCGAATTAGGCAGCTACTCAAAATATATGATTAAAATCGAAAACGTTCATAATGTTTTATATGATAAGAACTCAAATATGAGGTCAGTTTTATCAATGAAATGAATTTATCTAATAAAGTTCAATATTTGAATTCCTTTTTGTTTTGAACAGAAATCGAGTGAATGAAAGTATTTATTTTTATCAAATATTATCATGGAATGTATTTGAATTTAAGGATAAATATATTCTTTTAAAGTTATATTCATTGAATTGATGTGAATAAACTCTTGTTTACATTATTTTATAAACAATCATTATATAACTAATTGTAGAAATGCTACTTTTTAATTGGTCAAATGAACTATATATAATTTTTTTTTCATTTTTTATTCAAACATCATGCATTAATAACGCTCAGGCATAAAAGAGTATTTCAAAAGAAAACTCTTCATAAAATAAATGATGGATTTATATTAATATTCCAAAGCTTTGTATAATTCGTACAGAGAACGATTAATTATATGTCCAGTACTCAATAAGATTCCGAGTGCATATAAAATATAACGAATGTTCTTTATTTTATTAGATACAAGCATATGATTAACATATTAAAATAGTTGTATCGAGACAAAAAAAGATTGCAGTATTAATAATTTTCGTCAATTCTTGAGTGAAAAATAAATATCTCGAAATTGTGTGACATTAAAATGACACGAAATTTGTGCGAAGTTGGATGCACGTAAAAGAAATATTCTTTTTCTTGTTACACAATTCTATTACACTTTGATAATACAAGGAAATATTAACTGAAATTAACATATCAATACTCATATTCAAGTTCGTCTCTGATATTTAGAAAAGTCACAAATTATTATTTAAAAGAGTTTCTTGTTCAATATTTTTATACATCTGAATAAATTTTTGTTTTAGTTTAATTAAAAAATTCTCTTATTCTTCTTTTATTTTTTCTTTTATTTCAATTCATAATGCAATGATGGATGCAGGAAATTTTCTAGAGTGCTGTCAAATGTAAAAAAAAATATTTTTGCATTTGAACAGAATGGAAACTTTTCCTTTAAGCATGAAAGAAAATATTTGAATCAGAAAGTTTTTTTAAAAACTTTTGTTAAATAGTGAATATTTATAAAAGTTACAGAAACCCTTCATTCTTTTAAATTTTATTGAAAATAATTTTTATTCTTTCTTTTTGAAATAAACTTTTCGTTTAAGCTCAGATAAATTTTATTTATTTTCATGATTAAGACTAAAACACTTGATTTTTAATCCGTTATTTCTATTAGTTATTACTGTTCAAGGAAATAATTATTTTAATTATTTATCTTTTTGTTATTTGAACGTTACTCTTCTATTTTTTTGTCGAAGATTAACTATTCTTTTTTTGTAGAAATTAATAATTATTTGTGTGTTATAAAATGTTATCGTTGAAAAATTATTTTGTCAATTTAAATATATTTGAATCATCGACTGATTCAACAGCAACAGATGAAGAAAAAGAACATGAATGTCGATCAAATATTATTTCAACTCGAATCTTTTTCATTGTTTTTATCATCGTTCTAGTTGAACTCACTATTATTATGAAAACAAGAAGTCGAGATACACTTATAATAGTTGAAAATCCAAGTGAAGATCAATTCATAAATTTACCATCTGATGCTCATTGTCCATGTTCTCGTATATCATTATCCTATGGTGAATTTATTTCAATTCAAATTCGATTTCATCAGATATGTTCAAGTGATTTTATATCTGATCGATGGATTAAAACAATTAATTTTGGTTCAAATACAACGTATTTTTCCGCTTCTAACTTTCGAAAAGAAGGGAGTGCAATATTTCAATCACTCGAAAGTTTTTGTCGACTTTCAAAAGATTATGCTATTCAAAGTATTGATTCATTTAATAAAGATTTATTTATAAGTCAAGAAGTTTTAAAAGAATCTGTATTTCAATCCCAAATAAATGGTACTATTCATCAATTTCAATTATTATCACCTAGTGGATTCTCAATACAATTAGAATTAATACAAAAACTGACAGCCGGAAATCGTTTTCTATCTGCTCTTCAGACTAATTATATGCAATCGTATGTACCTTGGGGGAACAATATAGTTCTTATTCAGGTACATAATCAAGTTTTTCCGGATGGAGAGCATTCCTCATGTTCTTGTCGGATCCGTATTGATTGTAACATAGAATCAATGATATTGAATGAATTTGAACAACCTAATATCGACTACTATCCGCCTTATGGTAAGATGTTAATGAAAATTCCTGGAATGGTGCATAGCTGTCTACCAGTAAATACAATTCTTCTCTCAACATTAGAATGTTTTTATAATCAAACATGTTTAAATGATCTTGTTTCATTATTACCTACGACTGAAGCTTTTACAGCAATGTCACAATTCGAACAAACTCGTTATGAGTTAAATTCAACAATACAAACTATTATCGACAATTTAATGATTGAAGAATGGGTGATCGATATTTCTTATAAGAAATATTATGAACAATGTGCTCCCATTTCATGTACTTATTTTAAGAATGATAAATATGATTGGAAATTTGTACTGACACAATTAATTGGTTTATTAGGATGTATAATAATGGTATGTAGTTTTATTATACAAAATATAGTTAAATTCATTCGACGACGACCATCTCAAAATACAGAATCAATATCTTGTAAGTTTAGTTGTTTGATTTATTAAATAGAATATGCTAACTGCTTTCAATTCATTAAAATTTCTTTCTTTGAACATGAGCAGAGGGAGGTAAAGTTTCTAAAGAAAGCAATTGTACATAGAGTTGGAAGCGGACCGGTTGAATTGATTCTCAATAAAATCGATTTTATTTATTTGACTTGTTGTGATGCAAGAAACTTCTTAAAATTGAGAAATACATTTTACAATGAAAAATCTCGATTTTATCTTAGACTTTTTGAGGAAGAAAATAGAGTTTTCTTTTAATAGAGCAATTACTTCCTCTTTTAACATTGATACACCGACATATTTGTCTAGTTGATTATATTGATTGACTTGATTTACTATTGAAATTATATTGACAAGATAAAAGTTTTTATGTGTTTTTCTTAATTAAAATGTAAAAGTAAAATTATTTCTTTCTTTATTTTATGTTTAGTAATAATAAAGATAAAAAGACTTGTGAAAAAAAATTTAATTGAACTGAATATGTTTAAACATGATGGAAGTAATCAACATCAAATCAATTATCAAAGAATTGCAACTCGGTTTTACTTATTCGTTCTTCTCATTTCGCTTATAATATTTAGTTTCTATTCATTATTAAATAAAGATCTTCAACAAAAAACAATTCATCAACCATCAGAATTTCAATTTAAAGAACTTGAAAAAATTTATTCTTCAAATCTTTATTGTTCATGTTCAACAGTCTCAATGAATTATTCAACTTTTATTATGATTGAACCTTACTTTCATCAAATATGTTCAAGTGACTTAATATCAGATGCATGGATTAATTATATCAAGGGTGATAACATACTGAACGATTATTTTCCAATATTTGACTATCGAAATTCTGGTGTATTCCACTTTCAGTTATTGTCATTGTTATGTCAACATTCTCAACAAACAGTTAATATTAGTATCAAAACATTTCTTCAAACACAATTTCTTTCTTCACAAGTTATTTCTCAAAACCGATTTGAAACTAAAGTTAATTCATCTATTAATGATTGGAAATCTGAAACTATCGATCAATTTTTACAAACAATTAAAATATTTCAAGCTGTATCACATGGAAATCAACTTATGAGTCAGCAGTTTCATTATTATATATACTCGAATGATACAAAAATGAATCTTGAAGTAAAAAAATATTTCAATTGTTCATGTATTCTATCTTCATCATGCCTGATCTCTATCGGTCTGTACGAAGGTGATCTATCTTGGGAGTTTTACATGACACTTTTCATAGTCCCAAATTTTTTTCTGGGTTGTTCTCAAATCGAAGGATTAATGAAATCAACTTTAGAATGTTTTTATCATCTATCATGTATGATTAAATTAGATCGATATTTTGATTTTCCTCTTGGATCATCTTTTAATTTTTCAAATTTAAATCAAAATCTTAATCCACCGAATGAAATAATAGAATCGATTATCAATAGACTTATGATTGATTCTTGGACATCGAATATTTCATTTTCTTCATATTATAATACATGTTCTCCATCATCATGTACATATCAATATATTAGTCGAAATGATTTATTCTTTGTTATAACAACAATTCTTGGTATTTGTGGTGGTTTATCTCTTGGATTAAAACTACTTACTTTAATTATTCTTCGATTTATTGAGAATATAATTAATAATAATTGTTTTAATGGATTTATAACAATGATAAAAAACTTATTTGTTTGTAATACTGAACAACGTCTTATTAATCGACTTCATTTCATTTTACTTTTATTAATATTATATTTAATATTTATATTTTCTGCTTTTAAACCAAAATTAGTTACTATCCAAATAATAAAACCATCACTTTCAAATTATAAAGATTTATTAAAAGATCATTCCAATTCTCTTCAATGTTCTTGTTCACAAATATCTATTCCATATGAAACATTTCTTAATATTGAACCTCATTTTCATGATTTATGTTCAAGTCAATTTATTTCTGATGAATGGATTCATTATATTTATGGTGAAGGTCATCTTTCTCGTCGATTTTCATTCGATGATTATCGTTATTCAGCTCCTGGACAATTTCTTTCACTTTCTTCACTTTGTAAACTTAGTCAAGAAAAAGTAAATCATACTCTTTCGCATTTATTGACAAGTTATTTTATTAATTCTCAGCTTTTATCTGAAAATCTTTTAATTGAACAAATTGAAATAATTCTAAATCGACTTCAATCAACTACATCCAATTCATTTCTTAATATTTTGAATTTAATTCGTGAAATGATTGGTTCGAATATGATTATGAGTAAATGGATTACTAATTGGGAATATATTCCTCAAGGTGCATTTTCTGATTATGTATATGTACATACAGCACCTATAAGTTATGGTGAATGTAATTGTGGATTATCATTTAAATGTACTCAGTCATCAGGAGATATGATGAGTGGTTGTTATCCACTTGAATCTATTCTTCAAACAAAACTTTACTGTTTTTATGATCAAAATTGTATTGATTCAAATGGAAATTTTACAAGTTTAAATATGTCTGCGTTAAAAAAAAGTCAATTTCATTTAAATTCAACAATTGAATCAATTTTAAATAATTTAATGATTGAAGAATATAAAACTAATTTATTATATGAAAATTATTTTAATCAATGTCAACCATTATCCTGTTCATATTCTTATATTAAAACTCATGATATAACTCAAACAATAATATCTCTCATTTCTCTTTATGGTGGATTAGTTATTATAACTCGTTGTTTAGCAATTATTTTTGTTAAAATTTATCAACATAAAAAAAATCGAATTAATCCCGAAGTTCTTCAACAAAATATTTAATATATATATATCAAGAAAAGAAAAACTAAGAATATCGAAAGAGAAATGAATTAATTTTGTCAAAGCTTTTGATGTTGTACTGCAATTATTTAATAAATTTATCAATCAAATGAACATTATTTTTTAATAGAGATTTATTAATTGTATAAAATTGTTATTTTTAACAGTATAGATGAGATCCATGTAACTCAATTCATGAAATAAGTTTAACGGAAATGAATTTGAGGGTGAGAGTGACGAGTAAGTCGAGCATCTACGACACCTTTCGACCTTGCTAAATGGGTCTCATCAGGTAGTTTCGACTGCATGAGAATATGTCGGCTTGTCCACGCAATGGGTGTGGGTGTTCTCTTTCTCCACACCCACACCACACCCACACGCACATCCACAGCCACACACCCACATCCACACCCACACACCCACATCCACATTCACAGGTTAGCCTATAGGAGTGTTTCATATGACAATTTCTATATGCATGTTATTCGTCTATTTTTAATAAAATTCAACAATGAAAAATAAAAACTGAAGACAGAAACATCTGAAATAATGAATAAGTATAGTAAACTTCGTTTACATGGTTGTTATTCTTCTATAAAAAGTCATGTTCACATCAATTTATATTGATTTCATGGATGAAAAGAGAATGACAACTATATACGATGTTTGTTTGTTATTACATATTTCTACTATATGACTTTACTCTACGTAATTTTAGTAACTAGAAAGAGCCAGTGAGAAAATAGTAATGAGATGTACATATGAATATATTTCTACATGCTTGGAAGAAAAAAAAATTGGAGAAAAAAAAATAACCTACTACTATAGATCGATATATGATAAAACAAAAAAGGAAAGAAAAGAAGACAGAGAACAAGACTTTGAATCTATTTTGTTTTTAGAGAAAAAAAAATGATTTTCTATATAACATTAAGTCACCTTTCATTTAGCAAAATAAAAAAAATTCATGAAGCATGCAATTATACATTTTTATTTTGATTTACATGGACAAACAAATATATGAAGTATTAGTAAATTTTTTTCATATTTACTCCAATATAGAAGTTGAAAATGCTATATTTTGATTAATCTATATAACCTTAACTCGTATTCATATAATAATAGAACATGATACAATATTTGGAATAATATTTATCTCACATTTTGTTCTAGAAAATTTACAATATTATTTTTTCTTCGACGTCCAACTCGTGTATAAATTCGATATGAGGTTAATTATAGTACAAAGACTTTGTCTTGGAGAGAAAAAACAAAAATTTAATGTATAAATTTTTTTGTTTTATTGAAGATATGTTTTGGAAAACAATTTTAATTGTATTTTCAATATTTTTATCTATTCTTCTTTATCGTGCATATGTTGTATTTACACCAGATAAAACTATATTTGAATCATGTTTATCATCAACTGGTAATCATTCTTTGAAATTTGATCAAAATCGTCTTCGAACATTTCAAAAATTACTTCAATTTCAAACAATATCCTATGGAGTCAATAAACAAAACTTTGATGAAATTAAAAAATGTCGAAATTTTATAAAAGAACATTATCATGATTTAGTAACAAACTACTCAGAATTTGTTGATTTATATGATATTGCAGAATATTCATTATTATATTCTATTCAAGGAAAAAATCTAAATTTAAAACCATTCCTTTTTTCTGCTCATATGGATGTTGTACCAGCTAGAGATTTAAATCGTTGGAAATATCCACCATTTGATGCTCATACAGATAAAGATTTTATTTATGCACGTGGTACACTTGATGACAAGTAATATCAAGATGATTAATTATTTCAAATTTTTCTTATTGCAAATAATTTTAGAGGAAATCTATTTGCCATGATGGAAGCTCTTAAGGTATGGTTGAATGTGCACTTTCTTGAAAAATGTTAATAATCAATTAATTTGTATGCATATTATATTTGATAAAATAAATACACTGCACAAATATCTAATTTTGATTTTTTAAAATTTTTAATATTAAATTTCATTGTGCTTTTCTGAATAGGAATATTTACATGCATATGGTCAACCATCACGAACATTTTATGTGGCATTGACACATAATGAAGAAGCAGGTCATTCAGGAGCTATGGGTATTGCTCATCATCTTTCACAACAACCTTTTGGTCATAATGGTCAATTTGAATTTGTACTTGATGAAGGCACAACTATTCTCGAAGAAGTATTTCCTACTCTTAATAATCCTATTGCTATAATTGGTGTTGCTGAAAAAGGTTATATGAGTATTAAATATCGTATTGATATGGCATCAGGTCATTCAAGTATGCCATCAGCACCAACAGCTATTGGTATATTAGCTCGAGCTGTTGATAAACTTGAAAGTAAATTACAACCATCACAATTTGGTCGTGGACCTGAACTAAGTCTTCTACATGGTGTAACACCTTATTTGAAATTTCCATTACGATTAGTAATGAGTAATATTTGGTTATTTGGACCTGTTATTCAATGGGTTTTAAGTCAAAAACCAGGAACAGATGCTTTACAACGTACAACAACAGCAGTAACATTTATTTCTGGTGGAGAAAAAGATAATGTTTTACCAACATCAGCTTCAGCTACTGTTAATCGTAAGAATAAAACTGAAAGCAGAAACATAACAAGTGATCGGAATGTTTTTAGATAACACGTTTTTTTTTACTTCTCATTCGCCAGAAAATATTTTCGACAAGTCAAAAACTATAGGTCGTGACTTAAGTTTGAATATAGACTTACAAAATGTTACGTCTATTTTGTTCAAGAGTAGTGAAGAACTTTTTGAAAGACCTGAAAAATTATCTATAATGATGAGCTAACAGTTTTTTTTGTTTACCCTATGTTCTTTTTCGAACATGCTAAAAATGTCCTAGTCGATTGTTTTGTAGAACGGTCATTTTTCTACAATATGTAATATTGAACTAAGCTGTAGCTTTTATCTAGGTGAGGCGGTAAGCATTTTTCAAGCATAAAACTGTTGTCAATTTTTCAAAAATGAGTATTTAGGAAGAACGAAAATTCAGGTGCCTTGTCGAAAGACAAAAAAAAAACTTCAAATAGTGCATTTTGTATGGTAGCTTCTGATCTACAAGTTGATATATAAATAAAGATTTTAACTTTTAGTTTCGAATCGTAATAGTGAAAATACAAAAATTTTACGTTCAGACAAATTTTTTAGCCTTTTGAAAGATTATTTTACTATTCTTGAATTAAACTGACGAGAAAAAATCCCTAACTGTCTAACCATTTTTTTTACCAAATCCAGTAGGTTCTTGGTAATCGATCATGCTGATTCCGAATACCGATTCGAGACCGATAGTTAGGACATCGGAGATTCATTTTTGGAAAACTACTTTTTCCTAATGAGGAAATTTTTTCGACAAAAACTCTTTTGATCCATCAAGATTATAGAGCACGACTAGCTGATCATAAAACACTGTTTTTCTTCATTTGAGGCCCATGAATGACGCAATCAGAAACATAAATTTTTCTTTTGCCTACTGATTTATAGAATAATATGTTCATCTTTTTCTCTGTAAAAATTTGAAGAGAAAATAAAAAATAATATTTCTGGTTACTTCAGTAATCGTTCCCAAATGAAGAGAGAAAAACAGTGTTTCATAGCCAACTCGATATGCTTTACAATCTGGATAGATCAAACAAGCTTTCGACGACAGAATTTTCTCGCTATCAAATAATGATTTTTCAGAAATGAGTCTCTTAAGTTCTAGTTGTCCATCTCATATTTATATTCGGAATCAGTATGGTCGATTACCTAAAACCCACTGAACAGAAAACAATAGCTTTTGATTCGTTTGGAAATACTTTCTAGTGAGTCAAAAGTGAATAAATATCTTGTCTAAAAATTTTACAATTACTCAGTGCTTGTTTTTTATTCATTTGAAACTAAATTCTTATTTTTATTTCATATAGATCGTATTCATACAGCTGATTCATGTCAAAAAATTCTTGAAAATAATCGTCGTATAATAAATGATGATCGTCTTATTTCTCATATAAATTCATGTTCAGAACCATCACCTATATCACCATATGGTAAACATATTTATTCATATCATATTCTTGAACAAACAATACGTCAAACATTTGAAAAAGATCATCATCAACCAATTATTGTTGTACCGGGTTTAATGTTAGGTGCAACAGATAGTAAATTATATACGAATCTATCAAAAAATTTATATCGTTTTTCTCCATTTGTTTACCGTCACGATGATTTAGATCGTCTTCATGGTGATAATGAACGTATAAGACATAGTGATATGCAACGAGGCTTAAATTTTTATTTTCATGTTATTCTTAATAATCAACTTGAGAATATACCTGAAACAGAATTAAAGTCAGAACTTTAGGATGAACATTTTTTTCTTTGGACTCATTAAATTTATTTTCTTTTTTTTCTTTTAATCATATGTTAGACAAGCATTTTTTTTTGATTATCGATTAATAAAAATTTTATTACGCTTCAATAATGCATACAAATGATATAATTTGAAGATAATCAATCTGTCATGGAAGTTGAAGCGGGTGTGGGTGTGGGTGGGAGTGAGTGTCAGTAAAGGGAGGATTAGAATCCACACCCACACCCTGGAGTCTGATGCAGTATATTATATTAAATGCAATGATTGTGGACATTCGTATATTGGCAAGACGGAACGTCAATGTATACGAAGGTTGTATGAACATGGTGCACCAAAAACAGCTTGTCAACAACAACAGTACAACCATGTAAGTGATGATATTAATGGCAACACCAACATTCAAGAACAAAGAAGATCATCACGGATAAAAAACAAAATAATAATAACAATAGCAAATGACGACAACAACGATAATCAGATTGCCAAGTCATCAATTATGCAACATGAAAAAGAAACAGGTCATCATATGGACTGGAGTAATTTTCAGGTAATATGGCAAGACAATCATTATTATCGTTTGTTAATTAAGGAATC